AAATAAACTTTGTTTCTAAACAACACTGGCTTTCAACTTTTTTTCTCCCTTGGAAACAGCAGCAGCCAAAACCAAAAAGCAGATTCCTCCAAAAACTTAACACACTTTATTGTACACTTGTGAATGTTTTCCCTTTATTAAAAAGATGTTATTTACAAAAACCAGCACAGAACATTACCATGGTAAATTATTCAGTGTACTGTACGCAGATGGTCAAATCCAAAGTAGATCCCGATTTCTCTTTGTTGACTGCTGTGATGTATCACTGAGAAGCACTTCCTACTGTATGCTACAGAAACAACACCTGACTGCAAATCATATGGCATGACACGAATCAAGCAGACTTCCCAAAAGTCCATAGGTGTTCTGTATTGACATTGAGTGAAGGAGAAAACATTCTTGAAAATAATTTTTTCTCTTGCTGCAGCAACTGTTTTTGTTAGCATCAAATCTATAGCATCATTTTTGAACAAACCAAGATGGGCGTTTCCTGGCTCTTTCAATGATCCGTTTGCCTTCATCTTTTTCTGAAGGCTTTTCTCCATCATAAAGGACAACAGTCTCTACAGTTGGAGCCTTAAATGGTCCTCCTTCCATTTTGCGCATTTCCATCCGTATCAGATGAGTTTCTGCTTTGACCTTTGCGTAGCAATAGCCACAAAGGATGTGTTTCTGTTTCAAGTTTCCACACTCAGGACAAACATCTATGTTCCTCTGAAACAACAGTGGAAAACAGGAAATTTTGTAATTTGAACAGCAGCAACAAAAGAACAGGGAGCAATCACAAACTACTAAAAAAATTAAACAAAATACCAGAGAAGTTCAATTACCATTCAAAAATCTATTCTTCAATATAATTTTTCTGTAATGTGTTGCTATGTCAAATGCTTACTACTAAAAGCAGCCTGTGAAGTCAGTATCTAAGTCATTACGCTTATTGATAATGACTCAATTAGGTGCATAGAAAGCACAGAGCTTTTCCACTTACTCTATCTGTTCAGCCAAAATTCATTTTGTTGGCTTGCACCTATAAAGTCTCACTGTTTATTTAACGACAGACTACTGTCACACATGATGAATGTACCTCTTCCAAAGGATTTTAAAGATTACAGTGTCTTTTATGCTTCTTTATTTATAAACAAAGTTCAGAAAGCTTTTTCAGTCAGCACTGACGACTGCGATGATTCTCTAAAACAAGCAAGGTGAAAAATGACTGGTGTAAATAGTACTCTGCCCTGTTTGCCAGCAACAAAATTACTCGTGGTGGATATGGTGGCAAGGCAGTGGAAGCTTGGTGATTACCTTTACTTCTATAAGCTTGCTGGGATGCCTCCGCCGGCAGCGGTTCACCTCGATGGTGCGCCGTTTCTTGGGCACTGCCATCCACAGGATGCTCTCCAACAGCCCCGGTGCTTCGGCACTCCTTTCACTGGCGTCATCTGCTGCTTGTGGAAGAACAGCTGGAGCTTGCACAGCTAGTGCTGGTCCTGAAGGAGAAAGAAAAAGAGGGAGGGGATTGTCCCACTCTGCTCTGCACTGGTGCAGCCTCACCTTGAATACTGTGTGCAGTTTTGGGCTCCACAATATAGGAAAGATACTAAGCTCTTAGAGAGTGTCCAAAGAAGAGCAACAAAAATGGTGAAGGGCCTTGAGGGGAAGCTGTATGAGGAGCATCTGAGGTCACTTCGTCTGTTCAGCCTGGAGGAGACTGAGGGGAGATCTCATTGCAGTTTAACAACTTCACTGTGAGGGGAAGAGGAGGGGCAGACATTGATCTCTTCTCTGTGGGGACCAGTGACAGGACCATGGGAATGGCCTGAAGTTGTGTCAGGAAAGGTTTAGGTTGGATCTCAGGAAATGGTTCTTCACCTAGAGGGTGGCTGGGTGCTGTAACAGGCTCTCCAGGGCAGTGGTCACAGCACCAAGCCTGATAGAGTTCAAGAAGTGTTTGGACAATACTCTCGGGCACGTGGTGTGACTCTTGGGCTTGTCCTATGCAGGGCCAGGAGTCGGACTTCATGATCTTTGCGGGTTCCTTCCAACTCAGCACATGCTGTGATTCTGCGAAATTCTTACAGCCAACCCCATTTTCGCTGGCGGCCGCGGAAACGCGACACGATGCTGCGGCCACCCCCGAAGGAAGGCGGTCAGAGCGGCGGCCCCCGCCCTGCGCCCTCACGGATCCCAGGGCCGCGCCCCAGCCGTTCAAAGGTAAAACGAGTCCCGCAGCCCTGACACCGCCCCCTCACAGAATCACAGAATTGTAGAGATGCAAGTGATCTGGAGATCATCTAGTCCAGCCCCCCAGCCAAGGCAGAGTCACCAAGAGCAGGTGGCACAGGAACGCGTCCCGTTCCTTCAGCGAGCAGAGAACAGGGCGGGACTTACCCCAGGGCGGGCTCTGGCCCCCTAGGCCGCCCGGCAAGAGGCCCCGCTCCAGTCGCCCCCAGCAACGCTGGAGGAGAGCGCGAAGCCGCGGCAGCGGAGAGCGGACGAGCACCAGCACCGCCATGGCCTCGCCGAGCCCTCCGGGAAGGTGCGCCTGTCGCTGAGCCTCCTGGGAAACCGAGTGCCCGCGCATACCGCGGCATAGCAGGGACACTGGACGGGAACTCCAAGTCCCAGCATTTCTCTCGCGACCGGGAGGGAGGGGCAGTGGAGGGCGCGTGGAGGACTTCAACTCCCAGCGCTCCTCACGGCGCGCCTCTCCGCCAACCGCATCCTGTCAGGCTCAAGTCACGCGCGGCCACCGGCACAATCAGCGCGCTCGCCGTGCCCTTCCGCCGCAGGGAGCGGGAGCGGCGGCCGGCGCGTGCGTCGAGGGAGCCGGCGCGGAGAGCGCAGGGGTGGTGCAAGATGGCGGAAGCGCGGCTACAGCTTCTGCCTCACCACCGTTCAGGTGCCCGGCGCAGGGCGGGCTGCCAGGCCCAGGGCAGCGGGCGGCGGCGCTACCGGCAGCGGGAGGGCGGCACGCAGCTTGCACGGAGCGGCCTGCTGGCGGCGCGCCGCAGGACCGAGGGGTCGCTTTGCAGAGTCATCGGGCCCTGCCGGGCGCTGGGGGGCAGTCGGGGGCCGGACCCGCACAGGGACGGCGGGCGTGGGGAGAGCGGCGGGGATCGGGCGGTGCTGCCTTGGCCCGAGGGGGACATGCAGCTGCAACAGACTCTTGCCGACCTGAAGGGCTGCTGGCACCCCCGGGGGCGGAGGCGGGGGCTGCGGGAGAGTCCCGACTCCCACCGGCTGTCTGTCGCTGACCTCGGGGCCCGCTGCGGGCGCTGCTTGTGTCTGTTCTCTTTGTGGGCCAAGCTAAGATCTGTCTCGGCACTGGCCCTGCAGCGAGTGCTTGGTGAAACGGCTTAGCAGGGTTCTCCCCCCCCGACTCTTTAGGCTGGGGAGTGATTCTGTGGTTCTGAGCTAACTGGAAATGCGTGATGACAGCTGAGCTGTGGTATCTTGAGAGCTTGCTTCAGAACAGGCTTTGCAGATGCGGGAATGAATGAAGCAGATGAGTTATAAAGTAGTGTATTTTTCTTCTTGCTGCACTCTGCAGTTGCTGCTTTCCGTGTACTTCGTGTTGTGCACAGCCTGGATGTGGGATGGTTGCATGCACGGAATGAATATGCTGCTGTTGGAGTGGTGTCTGTTGAGATGTTGCTCTAATACACAGACTTAAGATTAATTCAGAGAAAAGGAAATTACCTTCCATTCATTTTTTGATGAAACTATTAAGCTATCCAGGACTATGTTATACATATAAAAAAGAAAAACTGGCAAAAAAGCAAGAACCTTTATATGCTGCTTGTGGTGAAGTTAGACCCCCTTAACCTCAGAGGAGAGTTGTGCTGTGTAATCGCAGAGTGAGTTGCTAAAGGCTTGTTGCAGTTAAGCAAATGAAGCAGTTCATGACCTAAAATGATAAAAAGAGTGTTTTTAATGGATGGAAGCAGCCCAGCATGCTTGCTGTGCTCTAGCAGATTGAATTCTCTATTAGCTTTCGGAAATGGTTTCCTGGGGGAGTTACAAACTTTTCCTATTGTACAGAAGCACTATGTGCTCGGAACTCTTGTTCCGATTTGTTAGTATTTTGTAGTGGAGAAGCCAGAATTATTACTTTGTCACCTTTATAACCTGTTTCCTCAGTGTATAAATGACTACAGTGATTGGTTACGGCTTGCTTTGTTCTTTCTGACTCATCTAAGCACCAAGTTACATAATTTTCTATTTTACTTCTGCAACTGTTAAAGCAGCGGTGTCTGAAATACAGCCCAGGCACTAGATCCCACTTGCAAAATCACTTGACAAGTGAGTGGCTGTCTCTGTGCTGTCCTTTTCCCTAAGGGTCAAGAATGGAGCTCTTGATCCCACTCCTTATGAGTAAGTTACTATGCCAGCTTTAACTCCTTTTTTTCTGTTCTGATGATTCTGCATCCATTACCAGCACATGGATTGTTAAAGAGAAATTCAGGAATACCTGGAAATGGAACAGGGGTTGTTTCTGTCTTGTGCTTATCTGTCAAAAAGCATAGCTGTTTTTTGCTGGTACCTTTCAGCAGAGAACATCAGTGTTCTCTGATGTTTGAAAACTTTTGGACACCACACATATAATGTATATCATGAGTAGAAACTCATGACACGCTCTGAAGATTTTTCCCTCTGAGTGGAAAACTTTTTTAAAATGGTATAAAATTGGAGAATGGACTCGTCCTCCTTCAACCTGCATCCCAGTCACTGCTCCCCACCTGTGACACCTTAGCTTTCATGAGGGCTGTAGGTTAATGCTGTGTGAGTATCCCAGTGGCACTGTGCAGCAGTGACTTCTGTGCTGAACCAGTCCAACTCCTTTAGAAGCTCTTACAAGTCTTCAGACCTCTGGGGTTTTGTTGTTTGTTTGTTTGTTTTTTAAATCCTGGTCAGAATATGCTGTTGCCGGATGTAAAGAGGCTTAAAAAAGCAAGTTGGCATCAGATTGTTGTAGGAAAGATTCGAGCGCATTGGAATTATGTTAATCTTTCTTTTGTGTCTTCCTTTTTAGTCCTTCTGGAAAGCTTGTTCAGATTGAATATGCTTTGGCTGCAGTAGCTGCAGGAGCTCCATCAGTTGGGATTAAAGGTATGTCCAGAAAATAACTACTTTAGTGAAGGATTTGGGATTCTGACTATCCTTTGAGAGAACTAAATCATTTTGGATTATGTACTGGGTCCTGTGTATTGGACCTTTCTTTATCTTTCCTTCTGTTACATATTTTGTTACTCTTTCAGTGGATTTTCAAATGTTTTAATAGGTTTAGTGTTTTCTGGGGTTCTTTTCTGGGTGATTCTGTAGACGTTCAGGTGGTAGAGATAGGTGTTTGGTTTGGGGTTTTTTTTGATTGTTCCTATCCTTATATATAGAAATTACACACAAAAAAGTTACTTTGATTACTCAATTATTAATGTTATTCAGAATCTTTAGAATGGGACTGTGGGAGCTGTATGGTTATTTAAAATGAGAAACAATGGGTTGGGTGGATTCATCAAAGTATCTCTCTTTAACATGATTGTAAACTTGAAGAGTTTTTTTAAAAATAGAGGAAGAAAATTTTTAGTCCAATAAACTTGTTCTGTGTTTCAACTGCTTTCCATAGTTTTAGTTTAATATTTAAAAAAATTTCCTGTTCTTTTCTAGCTGCAAATGGAGTGGTGTTGGCAACTGAGAAGAAGCAGAAATCCATTCTGTATGATGAAAGGAGTGTCCACAAAGTAGAACCAATTACCAAACATATAGGTTTAGTGTACAGTGGAATGGGTCCAGATTACAGGTATGAAAACATCTTGTTTGATCACCACTTAGATCCATTTTCATACAAGAAGTGTAAGAAGCAGGTAGCAATTAGCTGTTTCTAAGTCTTTCTAAGTATATGTTGTAATACCATATTTTATTATAATAAAATGACATTCACTTGAAATTTTCCGTAATATATCTGATACCTTGTCAAATAACCTTTTATGTGAAGAATGAAAGTGGTGTTATTCAACCTTAGTTTCAGTTTAAGTGTTTCAGAGATTACTCAGTTGATAAAGGTAAGCCAGCACAGTCTGTTTTCTTACATTAATGTTACGACAGAGGTACAGCTCTGTAGCATTGTATTTATTAAGAGTTTTCAGTTCTAGTTAGAATTTCTTTGACATAGTAATTTTGTCTTTGTTTTTAGAGTACTTGTGCACAGAGCTCGGAAGCTGGCCCAGCAGTATTACTTGGTTTATCATGAGCCCATTCCAACAGCTCAGCTAGTACAGAGAATTGCTTCTGTGATGCAGGAATACACGCAATCTGGGTATGTGGTGGAATTGCAAAGTTGCTTAGAAAGATGGTTTTTAAAAGTAAGGAGTAACAGCTACTCAATGATTCAAGTTTTTGTGTCAAAGACAGTTTTTCAGTGGAGAACATGCACAGAAAGTGGGCCAGTTGGAGGAGCGTGGACTGGCACTGGCTGAGAATGAGTCTCCATATCTTGCAAACCAACACGTCAGACAAGGCAGCATTATTTGGGCTTGTTCTGGTGGTTGACTAGTCATTCCTCATCACAGCTACAGTCTGGTGGGAACCATTTGGGGGAAGGTTAACACATCCAAAATAATTTAGTCACCTTTGCCTTTCACTGAATAATTTATCATTTTGTTTTCCTGTAGTGGTGTTCGTCCTTTTGGTGTGTCACTGCTAATATGTGGCTGGAATGAAGGGCGGCCGTATTTATTTCAGTCGGATCCATCTGTAAGTATCTTACATTTGTAAATTCTGCTACTTTTATAAAACATGAAATTTCACAGATGCTTATGAAATACTTTCTGTGATGAGAACAATGCAGAGCTAGAACAAAAGATACCTTAACATAACTTCAGAATGAGCCATTTCAGTAGGTGCTTGGAGCAAGTCTGGATCATTCTGGACCTACATGTTCCTGAACTGCTTGAGGGATGGGAGCTGCTTTTCAGGGAGATCACCAACCCTTTTCATGCCTTTCCTAGTTGATTGTGCCAGCAAAAATTGCCTTCTGCAACAGATACCAGAAAAAAAAAAAGTCTGCTTATGCTGCTCAAAACTGAATGGAAGTTAAGTCAAAAGCTGTTGTATTGTGAAACATAATGCACGTGCCTTTGTATTTAATGACAGTGGTTAAGTGAGTTTATTAGCTAGGTTTGCTCTGCACTTCTGAAAAACTACCCTTTGATGCACATGTGAGGTGCAGTGCTTCAGACAAAAAAAACGAGGAGGTCACTGTCATGATCATCAGTGAGCTTCAGAAGTTTGAATTACTGCCTGATTCTCCAACGTAAAAAGCAAAATGCAGATTCCTTAAGGCAATTTGATTAAGGCATAGACCTGCTGATAGTCTTCATGCCAGAGAGAATACAAGTGATGGCTAAATATCCTGTTAGTAGCTAACATAAATCAGATAGCTGGTTTGCAACAAGTTTTTTTATACTACCTAGTCTTCAAAAAGAAGAGTGGAGTGAACCTCAGTAAGGATCTGACTGTGCACTTTCTCAAAGGCAAACATACTATTTCTGTTTAAGGAATCCCAAATCAAAGCTATGCTACCTACTTACTAGTTCATCTTTCAAAGTAGTGGGAGGATGAAAATAGTTTGGGCCCCATACAAACATTCTGTACATTTTCACAGCATATGTTCCTGTATCAAATTATTCTGAATGTGATCCAAAATTATCTCCCATAGTCTCAGAACATTCAGTATTTTCGTAATTGTTGCTGTACTTTTTTCCCAAGTAATTGAATACATAGTGTTTGACTAAGTCACACAAAACAGTTCAATAGATTGTTGCTTTTACAGGGAGCTTACTTTGCATGGAAAGCAACAGCAATGGGAAAAAATTATGTCAATGGGAAAACATTCCTTGAGAAAAGGTAATGTATTTGATACTTGTCTAAAAGGATACTGTGTTTTGTTCAGATTCCACGTAAAACAGCCAGATTAAAAAAAATGCACACTTTTTAGATTATCAGAATAAAGTTTTAAAATACTTAAGATGTGATGCTTCTAGTTTACTTACTTACATATGCACAGGAAATTTGATATATTTAAACTCTAACTTTTGTGTTTATGGAGAATTGTATGAGTGCAATAAACATTACATTCAACATAATTTGCAGCAATATTGTTGTATAGTGTCGGTGTGAAAAGTACTGTTCTTATTTTGACAAATAATAACTTTGACTCATAATGTTACAGTGCTTACAAATAATATTTGTATGAGAAAGATTTTAGTAGTGTTTGGGTTTTTAGAGACTCCAGAATTAGTAAAATTTGGAAAGGGCTTTGTCCCTTGCTGAAATACATAAATGTCTGTTTACAGATACAATGAAGATTTGGAGCTCGAAGATGCCATTCATACAGCTATTTTAACACTAAAGGTGAGCAAAATATTTAAGAAAGAAGTTTCGTATGTTATGACTTCATTGATATGATCCACTGAACTGTATTTTTTTTAATAGGAGAGCTTTGAGGGGCAAATGACAGAAGACAACATTGAAGTTGGCATCTGTAATGAAGCTGGTTTTAGGAGGCTCACTCCAACTGAGGTTAAAGACTACTTGGCTGCAATAGCCTAGTAGAAACCAAGCAAGACTGTGTGGTTCACACAAAGGTCTTTTTAATTTTGGCTACTTAAATGTTTTTCTTTGCAGTTTTTGCATACTTATTTCTACATGGTTTGTCTGAGAGATTTTTTAAACATCATGGGTGCAAATACAACGGTCCTTAATATTGTAATACATGAAATCTTGTTAAAGATAATTCTTTCCCTTGATACACAAAATACTGTACAAAATGTAAAGTTATAGTGACAGCTTGAAAAAGGCTAAAGAATAAAATCGAAGGCCAATGTTTTGGGGGAAAGTGTCCGTGTGTCTTTTTAATCCTAGCTTGTTTATCTGCATAAAGCTTAGATTTCAGTATCTTTATTTTTGAGGAAACAGTTTTTCCCATACAGCCATGATGGATTCATGTTAGACCTTTTAAAGAATTTAAATGTTGAGCGGACAGGATAATTTTTCACTTTGGAATATTGTTTAAATGTTAAGTAATTTCCAGAAATGGTTTTATCTGGTGTAAAAAATCATGTACTTTCACAAAGAGACAGAACAGTCTTCCATTTCAGGTATGAACTGCAATCTACTTGAGCCTCTCTGCTTTTGACCTTCTTCGTCTTTGTGTCACAAGAACTTGTTTTCCATTACTTGAGTTATTTTCGTGGCCCTAGAAATTGCACTTTTTCAACCCTGAAATATTGTTAGAAAAAATAGAAGTAATAACTCTTGCTGAAAACTAAATGCATTTATCACCATCAATAAAAATCAACAGGAGTTACAAAACAGAATGAGAGTACGTAATGTAATGACTTTATCCCTTGAATTGTCCTCAAATATTTTCCAACTTGCAAGATAACTCTAAAGACAGGTGCAGAACTTGGATATTATTTGTGGGGGGTGTATGTATCAATACATTTGTTACATGTATAGAGTTGGTCAGGTCATAAAGAAACACAGAATTTACTACAAAAGAAAGGATAAATATATGGTGGGGGGTTCAGCAGAAATAACCTGGTCTGCAGCAGTTTAAGTTACTGTTTGCAGATTTTATATTTTTTTAAAGCAATCTCATAGTTAAAATGTTGATAATGAACTCGGAGTGACAGCTGCATCCCTCTGCTTGTATGTAAGCTTAAGGGTGGAGGGGAGGTGCCTGGCAGGCTACATGTCATCCAGCCATAACTGATGAAGGAAATACAAAGTATCAGTCTGCAGAAAGTAGTGTATAACCTAATTGACCTGTGTTTTCCAGTGTCTGTCTTCTGATGGTTCATGTTATCATCAGCTAAATAAGAGTTTCTGAAGCATGCCATAAATGAAATTTTATTTCCTAATGTCAGAAATAAAAGCTCTGTCCAAACAGTTCCTCCAGATCACTTTTTGAGTATTTGGCTCTGAAAACCAGTCCATACTCTGATCCTTATTCTAGAGAAAATTAAACAACTCGGAACTGAAACTGAAAACTTGATATTGCTGCATCTTCAGTTTAAAATATTTATACGTAGTCGGTGTTTTAATGATATATAAATATTCAAAAGGGTTTTCTGTATGAAAAAATGTAGGTAAGTACTTCAGAAAATGGTTAGCCTGAACTGCAGTAGTTTAATTGTCTCTGCTACTAGAAACAGTTGATTAGCAAAGAACACCCTATGAAGGGTAGTTGAAACCAAAGCAAGTTTCAAATAAGTCATGCTTTCTCACTGCCAAGATGGCAACAGTGGGAGAAACAAACAAAAATCTCTTGAGGTTTGGGGGCTGTGGTTTTGGTTTTTAAAAAATTGAGCACCTGCCATCTGGAGAATGTTACTAATTTACAGGTGGCAAAGGGAAGGGAAAAAAAACTGTATCATCCATAGTTTCCTGTAGTTTAATAATTTAAATGTAGTAACTGTTCTGTGCATTGTACAGAAGCTATTGTGTTCTGAATTAGGAAAATACTGTCTGTGAGATACCTGATAATAGGTATAAGTGTTGAGGGGGTGTTTCCCCACTCCCCCCCATCCTGCCAGGACAGGCAATCATTACAGCACAGGGCAATTTTAGCACTTCAGTACTTCAGAAGTGTTGCTGAGTTTACTTCATGTTGGACCAATGTTGCAAATGGGTGGCAGCATGAAGGTACTACATTTGTCAGATACTCTGAATGACCACCTCTGGTTGCCAGGTTGCTTCACTGAGTGCTTTTTAGGAATATAAACTGTTTGAATTGGTAAAATAATATTTATTTTTCAATGGTGGCACATTTTTCTTCTGAGGACAAATAGAAGTGTGCCTTGAAAAACATGAGAATACTATCACTAGGCTCCTCTTACAACAAAAAGCTTCAAAACGGTGAGCAGTTGTAACTTTCCTCTGAGAGTACTTTCCCTTTAGAGTGCTTTCCTCAGGCTGTCTCTCTGCAGTATGATATGGGAGCCCCAAGTCATAATTTCCATAGTAATGATTTATTGCTCCTTGCATAAAGTGGGGTCAAGGGGCTATAAAGCAGACAAATACTCTTTGTGAGAAATGACAAATTGCAGGTGAGATTATTTCAGCTAGCCATGAAGTGTGACTGCTTCGTTTAGCTTGTTCCTAATCTGAAAGAAGAGACAGCAATCACTTAAAGCAGGTGATATTGATTTGTTTGTCCTGCAAGATGGTCTGCTCCAAGGTAGAGCAGTGTGACACCTATGAGAATTGGGATTTATTAACTAGTAGGATCGGGCTCTGAGAACAGTATTATCATTTCATTAAGTTATTGCTTTAAGTCACAGAGTCACAGGATGGGTCGGGTTGGAAGGGACCACACCCAGTCCAACCTCCCTGCTCAAGCAGCGTCATCCTAGAGCACATGGCACAAGATTGTGTCCAGACAGTTCCCCAGTATCTCCAGTGAGGGAGAGTGCACAACCCCTCTTTTACAGTGCACGGTCACTCACACAGTAAAGTACAGGTGCAGTAAGCCCCTTACAACTTACTTTGTCTTACTATTGCTTTCCAGATCTTGTGAAATCATTTAGGCACTTACTCCCTGCAGGAACCAGTGATCAGAAGGCAAGTCTTTCCCATGCAGGTAGGGAATATTGCTGCATGGAGAGAGGCAAGACGATGGCTATGTCTGCTGCACGAAGGCGGGCAGCAACTTGGGGCAAGCATAGGGGACACTTGCTCACATTTAGCACAGAATCGTTTTGTATGGGCTAGTTTTGTTGTCCAAGCTTCATGGATTCAATGGGCGTGGGTCCAGCGTGCACGGAGCCATGGCTGCTGTTTCTCTGCTGAAGTTGAAAGTCCCAGGCCAAATTGTTTCTGGCCTGTCTGTTCCCACTCTACTCTGCACTGGTGAAGCCTCACCTTGAATATTGTGTGCAGTTTTGGTCACCACAGTATAAGAAAGATATTAAGCTGTTAGCATCCAAAGGATGGCAACTTCCCCCTTCCTTGAGGTCACTTGGTCTGTTCAGCCTGGAGGAGACTGAGGGGAGACCTCAATGCAGTTTAACAACTTCTTTGTGAGGGAAAAAGGAGGGGCAGGCACTGATCTCTGTGGGGACTGGTGACAGGACCATGGGAACGGCCTGAAGTTATGTCAGGAAAGGTTTAGGTTAGATATTAGGGAAAGGTTCTTCACCCAGAGGGTGGTTGAGCACTGGAACAGGCTCCACAGGTAAGTGCTTACAGCACCAAGCCTGACAGAGTTCAAGAAGTGTTTGGACAATACTCTCGGGCACGTGGTGTGACTCTTGGGGATGGTCCTGTGGAGGACCAGGAGTTGGACTCGATGATCCTTGTTGGTCCCTTCCAACTCAGCGTATTCTGTGACTCAGTGACTGTGTCTGACCTGACGTATTGCCCTTGGCCCTTACAGGCTTTCGGGACAAGCGGCGGGCACCCTGGTGAGCGTGGCCAGGCCGGGCGGGCCGGGCGCGGCGGAGCGAGGCGGGTGGTGCCGTGTCCCCGCCCGGCGGCCCCGGGGGAGGTGGCCGGCCCGGGCGCGAGCAGTCCACACGCCACGCCGGCTCGGGGCGAGGGCTGTTTGGCGCGCTGGGCTGTGCAGTACGGGCTGCGGGGGCCGGGGAAAGCGGCGGGCCCGGGGGAGGAGCGGGGCTGGGAGCGCCCGGAGAGGCGAGGCCTGGCCGCCGGCAACATCGCGCCCCGGCAGTGACTGGGGGACGAGGGCGATAGTGGGGACAAGAGCCGGCGTCCGGCGGCGTCCTCGCCGCCCCCCCTGCCGGGGCCAGAATGTGGGTGGAGGGCGAGCGTGGAGGGAGCCGGGGCCGCCGGGCCGGGGGCGAGCGCTAAGGGCGCTTTGCCCTCACCGAAGATGGCGCCGCGGCCTCCCCGGTGCTGCGGCCACGTGATGGGGGGAGGGGGCGGGGAGGGGCGGCCGGTCCCGGCACGGGAAACGTCGGGCCCTGAGGGGAAAGGAGGGGGCAAAGAGGAGCCTGCGGTTCGTAATGGGGCCACCGTGCAGTTGTGCTGAAAAAGTATTTGGGTTTGTGGGTTTACTCTCACTGCAACCCTTGATATTCGCTCTGTTTAAGTCTCAGTGTGCCTGGACACAGTGAGTTGTAGCTGCTGTGGGGAAAGGTGCCCAAGTGCTAACCATGGGGGTTTACTCATTGATTTACACACAAGAATAAGCTTGTAAGAGAAGACTTTGGGGGGGAAAGGCTGATTACTCAGTCTAAAGAGAGTCAGTAGGTCGGGTCGGAAGGCATTGGGCTTTTTGGACATGCTGGATGTTGACTGGGCCAGTAGCAGCTAATTCTGGCTGTGTTTCCACTTGTGCGTAGTGCAAGGGTGATTTCCATTCCTTGAAGGCAGGCTCCACTGCTGCACTGGCAGAGCCTGTTGTAAGACCCAGGCCGTGTCCTGTTGCTCGTTTGTCTTGTCCTTTAACACCAGTTTGCTTCAACGTGCAGGTTAGGTAAGAATTACAGTGTTTATACTTGTAACTGGGAGTCAAAATTGATTAATTTCACTATTCACTATGGTTATTTACTGCCCGTCATTGTGCTGTTGTTTGCTGTGGCACGAATCCTACATTTTTCAAAGACAGCACGCATTCAGTGAAGTAATTCCTATCATACTTTACTTAAGGGAGGCATACTAAAATAATACAAATGCAAAGGAATAGATTTATCAGATGCAACACAGTACATCTCTTGGTAGAATTAGAAAGCATAGCAATTTCTAGGTTCTCCTGACTCTAGAATTGTGAATCATAGCCTTGTCGCAATGCCGTATAATAGAAACATACAATGGTTAGGGTTGGAAGGGACATTAAAGGTCATCTAGTTTCCCCCTGCCATGGGCAGGGACACCTTCCACTAGACCAGGTTGCTCAAAGCCCCATCAAACCTGGCCTGGAATACTTCCAG